AGGGTTCATTAGAAGGAGAAACCATCGAAGAAGAATTCCATCGTCTTGCGCTCGACGATCCAACACATGGTATCAGAGCCTGGTTCCTGCACAAGAGGCTTAAGCGTCTGCGGAGAAGATGAGCTCGGGGTCAGCAACTGGAATTTTCATGGCGGATGGATTCTCCCAAACAAGGCCACCAAGATTTGAAGGGGTTCATTATGGATACTGGCGCAATCGGATGGAGCTATTCATAGGATCGAAAGATCCTGATCTATGGAACATAGTAATGGATGGTCCACTTGAAGTAAAGGAAGCTCGTGGGAAATGGACTGAGGTCGACAAGAAGAACTTCCAGATGAACTCAAAAGCAACCAACCTAATGTATTGGGCTCTGGGTCCTGAGGAGTATCACAGGGTGTCGGGGTGTAAGACAGCCAAGGAGATCTGGGATAAACTCCAGATAGCACACGAGGGCACATCACACGTGAAGATCTCGCGAATTAATAGTCTGAAGCAGGAGTTTGAATCATTCATCATGAAGCCAGAGGAATCAATCAGAGAAATGATTGAGCGATTCACTACAATCGTAAACAGCCTAAGGAATCTGAAGGTGGAGTATGCTAGTGCAGACTTAGTAAGGAAAGTTCTCTGGGCCTTACCAAAGCGATGGACTCCTAAAGTGACTGCCATCGAGGAGTCCAAGGATCTTACTAGACTAAGTCTAGATGAACTGATCGGATCCCTGGTAACACATGAAGAGAAATTGAAAAGGGAGGAAGTGGAAGAGCCTAGGAAGGAAAAGAAAGGAATTGCCTTCAAAGCGGTGACTCAAGAAGATGATTTGGACTGTCTTGAAGAAATGGAGGATGACGAGCTGGCAATGCTCAGCCAACACGTAGCCAAGCTGCTGCGGATGAGAAAAGAAAAGAGAAGAGGAAGCTTTCCCAATAGAGCAAGAGATGGGGAAAATGAAATGGAATTCAGCAAACCAAGTCGATATGGGTTGAAGAACAAAAGAGAAGGAATGAGTTCCGAAAAGGTTCAGCCTCAAGTTGGGTGCTTCAAGTGTGGTAAGGCTGGACACATCAGAGCCCATTGCCCCTTATTGAAGAAAGAAAAAGCTTTTGCTGCTACTTGGAGCTGCAGTGAAGATGATGAAGATGAGGAGGACACAAAACAAGAAGCATACATGGCTTTTGAAGAAAGCGACATTGAGGAAAGCGAAAAACAGGTAAACCTCTACTACTCTGATTGCTGTAGTGAAGATGAACAATTAGATGAGACAATCTTAGATATTCAAAACGAGTTTCTGAGAGTCAAACAAAAGCATGTGCTAATTAAGTCAAAGTGTGGAAAACTGTTGGAAGAAATTGCAACTCTGAAAGATGAAAAATCAAATATAAAGAACAAACTTGTGAATGCCCTAGCTGAAAATGGTGAACTAAAAATCAAGCTGGGATCACCGGAAGCTGAGATTGAAAGGCTGAGAACAGAATGTAAAGGCAAAAAGATCTTGAGCAATAGGTTTGATAAGACTTATAAACAGCCACATAAGATCAGAAACACTGAGTGTTACTATTGTCATAAAATTGGACATCATATTGCAGAATGTAGAAAACGTTTGGCTAAAGAAAATCGAGTAAAACATCTAAATTGTTTTAATTGTCATGAAATAGGTCACTCAAACCAAAACTGTTCAAAAGTCTTTCAAATGGGATGGGTAACCAAATTAGTTTGGATACCTAAAACAAATAAATAAAACTGTTTTGCAGACCTGTCTCCAAGTGAGCATGGCAGACAGCGTTTGGATTCTGGATAGTGGATGCTCACACCACATGACAGGGGATAAAGGGCTTTTTACAAATCTGGCTCTAGGAAAGAAAGGCAAAGTCTTCTTTGGTGATAACTTCAGTACAGAAATCTTAGGAAAGGGTCAAATAGGATCGATGCCATCAATAAATAATGTCATGCTTGTTAAGGACCTCAAACATAACTTACTCTCAATAAGCCAGATGTGTGGAAATAAAAATAGAGTAGTTTTTGAGCCAGAAAAATGTTTTGTTGAAGAAATCTCCTCTGGTAAAATACTCTTCACTGGCAAACGAAAGGGTAAGCTGTTTACTATTGACTTAAATGACAAAGCTGCATTCAATGAAACATGATTAATCACTGTTGATAAAAATGATCAGGTAGAGTGGCATCGTAGATTAGGTCATGTTAGTGTAGGTACCTTGTCTAGATTAGTAAACCTAGGGTTAGTTAGAGGTATTCCAAAAATTAACAGTAAGAAAGAATTCTTTTGTGATGCTTGTGCTAAAGGAAAACACAATCGAACTTCTTTCAAAACCAAGGCAGTCATCTCTACTAAAATACCTTTGGAACTGCTTCAGCTTGATTTATTTGGTCCTAGTAATATAAAAAGTCTAGGTGGAAAATACTATGCATTTGTGATTGTGGATGATTTCTCAAGATATACCTAGGTACTCTTTCTCACTAGTAAAGATGAAGCCTTGTCAGAATTTAAAAATTATTCTGCTCGAGTTGAAAATGAAAAACAAACCAAAATCATCAGTATCAGGAGTGATCATGGTGGAGAATTTGTATCAGAAAATTTTGAACAATTCTGTAATGAAAAAGGGATCACACATAATTTCTCTGCACCTAGGACACCACAGCGAAATGGTGTGGTTGAAAGGAAAAATAGAACTCTCATTGAAATAGGTAGAACTATGCTTAATGATTATGGAGTACCAAAACAGTTTTGGGGTGAGGCTATAAACACTGCATGTTATATAACAAACAGAGCCTTAATTAGATCAAAACTGAACAAAACACCTTATGAACTTTGGAAAGACAGAAAACCTAACTTAGGGTATTTTCATCCATTTGGATGCAAATGCTTTATTCTAAATACCAAAGATCAGTTAGGAAAGTTTGATTCAAAATCAAATGAAGCCATCTTTCTGGGGCACTCTGTAAACAGTAAAGCCTATCGTATCTATAATAAAAGGACCCTCAAAGTTGAGGAGTCCATTCATTTTGTATTTGATGAGTCTACTAGTAAGTGTGCAGAAAATTTAGAAGATGATGAGGATTTTGGACTCAGCTTAAGTCAGACCAAAGGAGCTGTTGAAGCAACAGCAAGCATAGAGGAAGATCAACATGCAGATCTTGGAAATATGCACAGGTCAGAAGCTCCTGTGCACATTCAAAAGCGACATCCACCCTCTCTGATGATTGGATACTTAAATCAAGGTATTGTTACTCGATCTAAAACCTATCTTGAACATACTGCCTTTATATCATTGATAGAACCTAAGAATATTGATGAAGCGCTAGAGGATGAATTTTGCAATGCAGCTATGCATGAAGAAATGCATCAATTTGAACGAACTAAAGTTTGGAACTTGGTTCCTAGACCTAAGAATAGAACTATCATAGGAACCAAATGGGTTTATCGAAACAAATCTGATGAACTTGGAATGATCATAAGAAATAAATCTAGATTAGTGGCACAGGGTTATAATCAAGAGGAAGGCATAGATTTTGATGAGACTTTTGCACCTGTGGCTAGATTAGAAGCAATCAGATTACTGTGTGCTTTTGCTGCTTCAAAAGGTTTTAAGTTATTCCAAATGGATGTAAAAAGTGCATTTCTTAATGGGGATTTAAAAGAAGAAGTTTATGTTGAACAACCACCTGGGTTTGAAGATCCAGAACATCCTGACTATGTCTATAAATTGAATAAAGCCTTGTATGGTCTAAAACAAGCTCCACGAGCTTGGTATGATAAGCTAAGTCAGTTTTTAATAAATGATGGATTTCGTAGGGGTCAAGTAGACAAAACCTTGTTCATAAAAAATCAGGATGAACACCTTCTGTTAGTGCAGGTGTATGTAGATGATATAATTTTTGGATCCTCAAATCAGGAAATGTGCAAAAAATTTGAGATCTCAATGAAAAGTGCCTTTGAAATGAGTCCATGGGTGAGCTCAATTACTTTCTAGGTCTGCAAATAAACAAACAGAAAAAGGGATCTGTATCAGTCAGACAAAGTATCTGAATAATATGCTAAAACGTTTTGGTTTCACAAATTTAAAAGCTGCATCTACTCCAATGGGTTCCTCAACCAAACTGTCCAAGGATGAATCTGGAAAACCTGTAGACAGTCGATTATTCAGGGGAATGATTGGTTCTCTACTATATCTGACTGCTAGCAGACCAGATATTATGTATAGTGTTTGTGTGAGTGCTCGGTTCCAAAGTTGTCCCAAAGAAAGCCACTTCTCTGCTATCAAACGAATCTTTAGATATCTTGTAGGTACTCCTAGTCTAGGTCTCTGGTATTCTAGTGATTCCAGTCTGGAACTGATAAGTTACAGTGACTCTGACTATGTTGGCTGTTCAGTAGATAGGAAAAGTACCTCAGGAGCTTGTCACTTTCTAGGTTCCTCTTTAGTTTCCTGGTTTAGCAAAAACAGAACACTGTGGCACTTTCCACTGCAGAAGCAGAGTATGTGACAGCAGGGTTCTGTTGTACTCAACTTCTCTGGATGAAATATCAGCTTAAAGACTATGGTATTCAGCTTGGTTCACTACCAGTCTTGTGTGATAACACTAGTGCAGTTAATATGACCAAGAATCCCATTCAGCACTCCAGAACCAAACATATAGAAGTTCGGTATCACTTTATTAGGGATCTTGTTCAAGATGGCCAGATCCATCTTCAATTCATCAATACTAATTTTCAGTGGGCTGATATCTTCACTAAGCCTTTAGGAGCAGAAAAATTTCTATATATTCGCAGAGAACTTGGCCTATTCTCATTGGAAGAGATCTCTATGATCCCTTAAAATCAGTAATGGTTCATCAATCAATAGTACATTGATTCTTTCCTATTTAGGTTCTGCTCTTCCCTCTTCTAACTCTCGTTGATGACCCTATATAGGTAGTTTTCCCTAGTACTCTTCTTCATCCTCAGCTCTCACTACGATATCATAAATCCTTTGACCTTCCAAATGGCTCCCATCAACTCTCAACTGCATCATACAGTCACTTTCAATAACAAGGGTTCTCATAACCCCGCACGCTATGAGCGTTATCTCAACCACTTTCGTCACCGCCCTCTCTATCCATCATTCACTGTTCTTCCTTCCTCCTTCCAGAAATATGACCTGGATATCTCTGGGCTCATCCATAATCTTGGGTGGGATTCTCTTTTTGAGAATCGGCGGTTCGGCCAATGCCCTGAGGCAATCAGGATGTTTTACGCCAGTCTGAAGAGAGGTCCTGGTCCGAGTCCCTCATCTTTTACCATAGTAGTGTATCATCATGAGATACTGGTCACCCCTTCCTTGCTAGCTGAAATCCTAGGGCTTCCCAGTCAAGGATCCTCTGCTGCCACCAATGATGACTTTGCTGAGATCCTATTTTACTATGGGTCTGCTTTGGAAACTCTTACCCTCGACATCGATCGTTATTTCTCTAATAGGCTTTCATCAGGGAGGCTTGCAGATCTGTTCAAAGTAATGCACTTTTCATCACTCGCATCCTACTTCCTCGCAGTGTGTCGAGTACTGAATTAGCTCATCCTTCAGATGTCTGGATTATGGGTTCGTCTCAACTATTCCTCACTCATGTTTGCTCACATGATTAAGTATGGGAATGAGAACTACTCTAGTCCTCTTCCCATTGGTCCTCAAATAACTCGCTTCCTATACTCTCTTGGCATTGATTTTTCTGACAAGATCATTGTTTGTGATATTCGAGAGGACTTGCGGGCACAGCATATCCTTGCTTGTGTCGATGCTTCGGTTTGCAGAAGGAAGCCTGTCATTTGCTCAGGGGGAGAGCAGTCTGCTGATCCTTCAACTCAGCTGGTTCATGCTCTACTAGATGTTGCATCTGTGGCATTAGATCAGCAAATCCAATCTATCAAGAGCAAGGAGCTCTGTAACCTAGAATATTGCAAGAAGCAAATTGATCTAGCTAAGGAAACTGAACTGAGCAGCTTTCAGGAGAAAGAAGAGGATGGTATGTCTGACTATGAGTCTCCGCCAGAATATGAGTTTTAGATAGGCAATCAGTTTAGGGGGAGTCCATTGGTCTGGTTAGTCATGGAAAAGTCTTGGGGTAAAGTCTTGGGGTTCTAGGTCAATAAGGATTGTCTGTGAATCAATCTCTGTCTATTTCGAGTCTTCTGTTTGTTCTGAATAATAAAATGGATTCAATCTCTCCAGATTATATAGCACTGTGTTAAGTATGTTGTTTGGAACAGGCTGTATCAACCGTTTGTTGAGTTGTGCAGAAAATGTGTAAAAGCAACAGAAACAGGAGCAAATGACATGCTTAGGGGGAGAATGTTGAGAGAAGTAGATCGAGGCCAGTCTATACATTTTGGTGTACAAGCAGATTGAAAAGGAAGTGAGTAATAGCGCAAATCAGGAGGATTCAAAGCAATACAAAAATAGAAAGAACTGCAATCTTGCCGAAAATGAGTAGAGCAAATTTGGCAAGTCAAGATTTCCCTTCAACGGCTCCGCTGTGGGAAAAATATAAAGGGGAGAACAATTGGGTAGTGGAGTCACGTTTTTTCCTGTGTTTTTCATAGAACAAATAGAAACAGCTTGTGAAGCTAGAGTCTTTTGGTTAGAAGTGATTGGGAGTGCTGGTCTAGTTGATTAGCTGGGAAAAATCAGAGTGTTTAATCAGGAAGGTTGTACACCAAAGGCAAGCTTGGTAGATCTATGGGGAACAAAGTTGAAGTTGGCCGAGTCCTGTAAAACACAAGGCACTAAGATACTGTTTACGTAGGGGATCTCAAGAAGAGAGTCTCCTATCGTGGATTAGTCGATATTGGGATCCTCATTCTCCCAATATCGGATACCACGTAAAAATCTGGGTTGTGTGTGTGTGAATGAGTTTGATTCTACTGTTTGTATTTCTCTGTTAGCTTACTCTGTTTTGCAGGTACTAAGTTCAGAGGAAGAAGTCTTCTCTTCACTACGAAGAAGGAGACGCAGTGATTTGGGCTCGGCTTGCAGGCCCATTTCATTTTGTTAAGTAGTTGCACTGTTCAGAGACCAAAGCCCACTTCGGGTTATTTTACCTATTAACAAGCGATTAGAATCTCCAAAAATAAAACGCATTTTTCCTTTTCTTGCTAAACATCTCCATTACTCGATTCTCTCACTTGATCTGAAATCGCAGAATTAGGGTTCATTAGAAGGAGAAACCATCAAAGAAGAATTCCATCGTCTCGCGCTCGACGATCCAACATATCCAACGATGAGAGGGCTTGTTTCACCACGGTATGAGCATCCCTATTGTACTTAAACGGAGTGAACTGGAACGATGCACGCTACATGGAAACATGAAGCATCTGAATCTATAAGAGGAGGCTACCACCCAAATCATGGCTTGAATCCTTAAAATTAATCATTTGAATGATCACCTGCGCGTCACCACACAATGAGACATTAGAGATTGATTTAGAAAGACACCACCGGAGAGCATCCCATAGGGACATGAGCTCAATGATGAATGTGTCATACAAATAGTCGTAAAACTTCCAAAAATCAAAGTGAATATCAGATGGTCCTGTATAATCAACGAAGCCAACTCCTTCCCATTGAGGTTTTCACCGCGCCATCAAAATGGACTAAGAAAGAACCTGACATAATTGGTGGTGGAGTGTGACTGCGAATCCCAGGAGGAACATTAGCACGACGATAATTGGAGGCGGCCAAAGCTTTTTGAATAGAGGACCATTCCTCCACTTGAGTTTGGAAATATCGCACCATGGTTGTTGGGAGGAATTGGACATGATCATAAGTAGTAGAGCACCGAGCCATCCATATGCGCCAGTACACAAAGACTAGCCGACTGAGAACCTCTTTGGATATACATGCTTGAAAAAACCCAATGCCAGCTCACATATACATGCATATTGGAAACCTGTAAGAGTAAATGATTAAGACCAACAAGGGTCCAAAATTCCACAGCCACCCTATAGTGCATAAACGAATGCAATGAAGTCTTAGGAGCTTCCTAACAAACATGGCACTTTACTGCCTCCAAATCCTCATCCTCAATTAGTACTTTCTCTATAAGTATATCTCTCAAGGGAAGATAGCCTTTAATGACACGCCACAATAATTTAGGAGGAACATTCAAGGATCATAACAAATTTCAAGCCGAAGAATTAAAGATCGAAGGAATGGTGGAAGGTTTATGAATATAATCGGCAAAGGCCACCTTATATCATGACTTGATAGTGTACTCAATTGATTTCTCATAGTGCCACACAAGACGGTCGGAGACAGGAAAGATGGGAAGAGGAATAGATCTGATAATTCTGACTGTATCCACATCAAATAGAGAGGTGATGAGAGGTACCTTCGATTTTCCGGATCGATGACCAATCAAAGAAGATACATGGGGCCAAGGTAAAGGGACATTAGGTAGGAGAATAGGCCGAGAAGGAAAGGTCGTCGACAACCATGTGTTTTCCAAGATGTGCACCGAAGCACTACAACCAATGCGCCAACAAAATCCAGATTGCAGAAGAGAGCGACCTACAAGGATACATTGCCAAGCCCAGGAAGGCCTAGAACCTCGTGGAGCAAGTAGCAAGGAAGAATGAATAAAATACCTTCCTTTATAATTGATGGCTAAGAGACCATCCAGATTTTGGACAATCGGCCAAGCCTGTTTAGCTAGGAGGGCAATATTGTGACTATCAAGGTCCCGTAAACCTAGACCTCCCTCAGCATTTGGTCGACAGAGTTCATGCCAGGAAGCCCATCGCATCCCATTCTCCTTGTCCTGGAAAGCCCACCAAAATCGAGCCAAATGTCCATTGAGCCTACGACAAAAGGAGGACAGGATATGAAAGTTGGACATAGCATAATTGAGAGAGGAAAAAACCAACTGATTTAAGAAATATTTCCTTAGCGGCCAAACACATGGTTTGAGACTTCCACCGTTGGATTTTCTTAAGCAGGTTATCTTCAATATATCAGAAGGAATCCAGTTTCGAACGAGATATCCGGATGGGGAGGCCAAGATAGATATCATTATCTCCAGTTGGAGAGACCCCTAGAGCATATATGATACATTGAGGCTGAACTTGGGTGACATAGTTTGCCTAGTTTACTTATAAATCAGTTGCAGTAGGATAATGTAACCGCGTCATCTGATTAATGAAGCCGAGATCAGATTCTCGTACACGCTGTTTGGGAAGAGGTGCAAATGGAAGGTGCGTGCAAATAGGGAGGGGTAAACACAGTTTCCAACACATTTGCGCCTGTTTGGATAATTTGTAAAGGTAGGTGGTGCAAAACGAAAGTGCAAAGTTACTATTTCGACTTACCCTCTAAATTGGGAAGCAAGGAAGAGAGAGAAGGGGGAAGAGGGGAAATTTGGATTTTTAATTGTTTTATAGTTATATAATTATAATTATATAATAATTAATATTGTCAATTTCTTTTCTTGTAATTATTATTAATGTAGACATTGTTCGGAGTTGAGCGTTTGACTCCGGGAGCAAATTTATCATTGTTCATCTAAGTTTTACCATATAATAATTATTTTTATTAAATTATATTAATTATTATATAATTATTTTCTTTTATTATTTTGTGATAATATTTTATAAATTTGAGAAATCTATTTATAATAATATAATACTGACATTTAAATTTATTTGCACTTATTACTTTTTCATTCAAATAACAATTTACCCATCTATTTACACTCTCTAATTTACATCCTACTACAGTTTACCACTCAACTTGCACTCTCAAATTTGCACCCTTATTGCCAAAGAGTACAATGCAGCTCGCAGACAACACAATTTCAAACAGGTTCGTGCTTAGAATAACTTTTCCACATCAGCCCTAGTGGTCTGCGAAATTCCCCCTTCTCTTCCCGCTCCTGCGATATTTCATACGCCCATTTTTCCAATTCTCCCGCCATTCTCAATCCTCCCACCATGTCCTCTCGCTTCCCCGCCCTCTGATTCCCCTTCAACACACTCGCCAACACCTTCATTCCCCCCTACAGAATTCCAATTGCTTTCCCAGCCCGTTTCCGATTCCCAATTCCGCTGCCCTTTTCCTCCTCCGCCTGCTTCCAATGGCCGGAATTTGATCCCTTCTTCCCTACAGCTGCTTTACCTGCTGCTACTGATCTCTAGGGTTTCCCATCCGTGTAGCGAGGAAGCTTTCGTAGATGAATCTTCGGTAACAGAGAAGTTATAAATTGGATATATAGGTTGTGGTGGGACGATGAGTGTTGTGAACATCACCAACGTCACTGTATTGGATAATCCTGCCCCCTTCTCTTCCCCTTTTCAGTTCGAGATCTCCTACGAGTGCTTGACTCCTCTAAAAGACGGTATCTTCCTTCTTCTCTCTCTATTTACTCTTCCACTACTCTTTCCCTTTTCCGCTATGTTAACCTGGTCAGTCCAAAGTTGGATTTTTTGTCGCATTGTTTGCTTAGACCTGAGTGCGAGTTAGGGTTTCTAAGGATTTGCTCTGCTCCCCTGGTTTCCTGTAAGAATTGCTGTTTCGTAATACAGGGTTGTTGACTGCTTACATATTGTGATGGCTTAGAAGTAACTCGTTGTAGTTGATGAGGGTGGTCATACACTCATACTATCTCATTATGTATGGTGGATGTCATTTCTGCCTTGTCTTTCTTTTGATAGTGGAGTGTCTTGGTGGGAGATTGGAATGCATGGATGTTTAGTTGAAGATTGGTTGATATACCGCACAGTTCTGTTTGATTTTGATTCTGGCTGAGGTGTTCTCTTTTTCATCTCAAGTGACTGGTTGACTTGCATCACTGGATTATGGTGTTATATGAGCTTTGGTATTCCCCAGTTTCGGTGTGCTGTGCGCAATCTAGAAGTTACAAATGAACGCCTGCTGGTCTCTCCATCGCTTTCAGTTTGACCTTAATGGATTAAATTTTATATGGTGTTCACCTTTCTGCTACCCATTCAATTATCTCTTATACTTTTTAAAAGGTACATTTCTGTTCATGAAATGGATTAATAGAATTCAAC